GCACGAACATTGTTTGCTTGTTGCAGCGCACGATGGGATAGGTAGTGTGTCCATGTCCAGTTCTTGTCATGGATATCTGATGAGGAGGAAGTGGCAATAAGAAGGAATAGTAGAGGGGCTTGCGATGGATAGCTTACTTTGCATGTACTGGTTATAAACATTCAACAACGTCAGATGATCTCCGTCAGGAACTGTCAATAGAGCCTTTGCAGCGTCCGCCTGTTGTCTTTGATTGTTCGGTCGAAGCCACACATTGGGTACTATGGATGATGTTCGTCAGGAAGATGCAGCATTCGAAAAGGTACATGACATACCTGACATCATCGCGGTGATCGTCAACATCTCATTACTGCATTTGAATTCTGAGCTAACAATCAGCAGCTTCGATAGCTATTGAAAGAATTAGTCGAATGAAAATCCCAGCGTGGAGGGTATCTACCTGCGGGTCTAGAGGAAACTCGGCCATCGTAGCACCTAGGGCGGTGAGGTTCCCGTCGTCGTCTAAAGCCGAGAGGTAATTCAATAGTTCTAGTGCCCTCATAAGCGTCTCAGGTGGAGGGGCATCAACATAACCAAATCGGACAAGATCCTATTGAGGATGAACTTCGTCAGGTTGCAAAATCACCTGAAAGCATGGAAACTGACCTTGATTCCGAGTTTAGCCATTTCCAGTACTGTATTACTCAGATTAGACTTCAAAATCTCAGGATGAGTCTGCTCCTCCAGCTCCGATATAAAGTCCTTCTCAGTGAACAGCCGGTAGCACTTTCCTGGCTTAGTACGTCCTGCACGTCCAGCCCTCTGTCGAGCAGACGCTTTTGATATGGCGCTGACGAACTGGCTCTCCACGCGTATTATCGGATTGTAAATTTTCTGCTTCGAAAAGCCCGGGTCTACCACATAAACGATTCCGTCGATCGTCAGCGACGTTTCTGCAATGTTCGTCGATACGACGACTTTCCGTCCTGGTGGGCCACCAGTCGACCGGGTAGCAGGAGGTGCGTCGAATATCCGTTGTTGTTGTTGTGGGGGGAGGGACGAGTAGAGAGGTATGCACACAAGG